ACAATGATTTCTTTAAAAAATGGAACCAGATGAATATAGAAAACTTGAACTTTCATTGCGAAAAATAACAGTTTTTAAGGCAAGAAAACAACTACAAATAGTCGAAGAAGAAGAAAACAAAAATAAAACGAAATTCTCCTTAAGACAAAAGAAATATTAAGCAGAAAAAAAATCTAAAAGCTGAACAATGTAAAATATATCAACAGGTCTCAATCTACTGATTTAGAAGTTGCTAACATCTTCCTATTTGCAGAATTTCTCATAGGGAATCAGCACTTCTACTTTATTTCCATCGAGATGACATCCGAAATTCCTAACCTGTAAGGACTTTTAATTTCACTAACGTATATTTTATTTTAAAACTTTGCGATCCTCTCTTATTAAATCCCTCCTGGGGCATCGAAAACGAACTTTTAAAAAATTTCCAAAATGTCACCAAGGTTCCAAGAAATTACTTATTTCGCCATTTTAGCAACAGAAGCAACATTAAGGCTCGGCCAAGGATTTTTGCCCACAATGCTGGCTCTAAGCTTTTAATCGATGTCAAATTAGAACACATGCAACGTAATCTCTGTTATTAAATAATGATGAATTTGTATGGATGTCTTTCGCATTGTGGAAAAAATGGCGGCTCTTAGATCCACGGAACATATTAAATATTAATAGACATGATAAAGTCAGCTGTATATAAGTAAAAAACAGTAACAGACTGGAACAATTATCAGCAGGAAATTTTTACCCACAGCACTCTAAACTGAGCTTCCAGTAAAGAGCCTAACAAAGCAATAGAAATCTAAAAAAGCCTTTTCTATGAAGTGCAAAAATGAAATGAGGCAAATACTGTTTGTTTATTTTGAAAGAAGTATCAGTTCTTCAGAATTCTGAAGGAATGATTGATGTACCTGCAGAAATAATTGATGAGACAACTTTCATAGTTAACAGGTTTACATATAAGTACTTAAAAAATATTTTTTTTAATTAAATGCAATTAACCACCTGAATAACATAACCTCTTTTATCCATCAGATTTTTTGGTCACTTGGTATATATTATCTTATAATTTAAAATATCTTATCTTTAATAATGTAATTAATGAATGCAAGTTTATGAAAACACACTAACCTAGGAAGTTATACAAATTTAGCTAACAAATGCTGTTTAAATTCAAATTCTTCATGAGAAGATTTAAAAAACTGTACGACTCAGGGAGTTAAAGAGATAAACTTTTAGCCTGAAAAATCAAAAGTGAATTTTTTCTAAAATTTTTACTTTTTTCTCATTATAGAAATATTTGTTCACAATGCTGACATCTGTATGGACAACTCTTCACTAAATTGTGGTTTTTTTCAACTACCAAATCTGAATTAAAAGCTTTAATGGATATATGTTTATTATTATACGAATAAAGACACACTAAAGCTCCTGAGATTATCATTTGATCTGGATGAAATTTCATATGTAAAACTTAAGAATAAAATACCCAAATGATTAAAAAAATCAATAATTCTGGAAAGGCTTATCACTGGGCTGAAAGAAGTTGATTCAGTTAACATCAATTTAGATATGGACTGGAGTAACATGGCAATCTAAAGCTGCTGGTATCAGTATCTCTTATAAGTATTTATTAGATAACCAGAAAAAACTTAAAAGTAATACTGATTACACAACCGCTAGATATGCTGGGGATTGTAGATTTATCAGTTATCGTTAATTCAATAAAACTGACAACTAAAATTAGTTTACAGGTAAATTTCTTTTCAAAGAATTTATTGAAAATATATGGAAATAATGCAGAAAATAGGCAATTTGTAACTCTATTTAACTTAATCTAATTTTCTTAGACTGAAATATGAAATATTATTCAGTCTTTACCTTTCAGTACCAAAACACTTAATATTTATGACAGTATAAAAACAACAAAAAAAAATTTATTTGCATTTCAAAGCACAGAAATGAAACCGAAGTTAAAGAAACTAAAACAATTATTAAAATTAATTTCTGATTTTTGCAGGCTAAGACAAACAATAATTAGCAGATCAAAATTTAAGTTGAAAGCTTAACCAACTGAATTATTCCATTACCTCTAACACAATCACAATCAAACTCATCAGCTTGTAATATAGTAAAAGTAGGCAGCAGCAGAAGAGATTCAGTTTCACTACAGCAGATTAAGATTGACACCTTTTTTCCTAATTCTACTCAACACACTTTTATTTACACTTTTTTTGGTAGAGCGAATGAAACAACAGAAGTACATGAAAGATTCAACATAAGAAATAACATGTCCATTAAAATAAGCCTTACAATTTTATTCAATATTTATTGGACATAAATGAGTTATTATACATACATAACCAAACAGACATATGTAACATATAAAATAGGTTAGACAAAATACTAACTTTAATTTGCAACAGTCTCTTAACTCTTCATTTAAATTTGGTTATTCCTCTTTTCCATACTAAAACTAGCAAATGCTTATAAAAAACCACTCTCTGAACTACGTCATTTCAAAATTAATCCTCACAACATGAATCTTACATAATGCTCATGCTGTCCAACCTGTATAGTGGTTAGCGTCGCTGACTGCCATGCTGAGGGGCCTTGGTTTGAATCCCGGAAAAGGCACGGATATCTGTGATTTGGCGAAAGGGGTGGGAGGCCCTCGGACCCCCCTCCCCCAGGGTTCTCTCCATCAAAATTGGGGGCGGAACAGCCAAATCGCACTGTCACTGGTTAGATGCTCAAGGTTGTTGCCACTGACAGGCATAATCTAGCACTTCTTGGCATGAGGAATTTGTGGACTTGGGCTGACTACATCAGACAAGTGAGTATAAGCAACACCAACATAATGCAGATACTTACATAATGTTTCAAAAAATAATTATTCCAAATACGAGAATCAAAACTTTTTTTTTAACAAACAGGAATAAATTTTAACTGAAACTGATTTATTCTGAATAAAACTTTAATCTTAAGCATGTTATTTTCTGCTCACTTGTCTTGCAAACATGTTGCCGCTTACCTTTCTTTAGAAAATATATGTAGGTTGTTTCCTTTTTCAACCTCCGCACAGAATGATGGCCAGGTATGTGGCAGGTGGTTGGTGCGCGTAGTAGGCAACTGCGCATCTCCCCCTCCACATGCTCTGTCACTGGAGTATTCAACACGCCATTTTCTGTTGAGTTGCAGTCACATAAACATAGCTGTCGCTATTGATTCTCCCGCCAAGTGTGAATTCCAAGCTGTTATTCGTTTCTTGCAGGCAGAAGGGAAACAGTGCAGCAGAAATTCATCGAAAAATGAGTCTAGTTTATGGAAACAGCTTTTTGAGTAATGGCGTTGTTCGTGAATGGTGTCGAAAGTTTAAAGATGACCGAACTAATGTGCATGATGAAGGGGGTCAAGGACGCAAGTCTGTCGCTACAGACGACATTGTTCAATGAGTTGACCAAGCGGTTAAGCAAAATCGAAGGTTCACCATAAGTGAATTATCATGAAATTTCCGGAAGTTTCAAGATCTTCCCTGTACACTGTCGTTACTGAACAGTTGCGCTACAGAAAAGTTCGCGCTTGCTGGATCCCACAGATGTTGACTGACGACCATAAAACTCGCCGAATGGTTGCACCGTTTGAGTTTCTTGACCGTTACAATACTGACGGAGAAGAGTTTTTGAAATTCATTGTGACAGGTGATGAGACATGGGTTCAATATGACACGCCCAAAATGAAACGACAATCACAACTATGGATGCATACAAATTCTCCAAAGAGACCCACAAAATTCAAATGAACCTTTAACAACCGTAAGGTTATGGCAACTATTTTTTGGGACCAAAAAGGTGTGTTGCTTGTGAAGTTTATGCAGCCTGGAACAACAATTAATGCAGATTCATATTGTGAAACTTTGCGATGCTTACGGAGAGCTATTCAAAACAAACGAAGAGGCATGCTGACTTCTGGAATTGTTCTGATCCATGACAATGCTCATCCTCACAGCGCTCGTGTAACCCAATGGCTCCTTCAGCAATTTCAATGGGACATTTTCGAACATATAGTCCCGACCTAGCGCCGAGTGACTTTCATCTGTTCCCTGAACTGAAGGCAGTGGCTTGGCAGGAAGCGCTTCCAAAATGACGTGGAGCTGAAAGAAACCGTCACAACTCACTTCCAATCATTGGCGGGGACATTTTATGAAGAAGGTATTGCAAAGCTAGTTCACAGATATAACAAATGCCTCAATGGAAAGGTGATTATGTAGAGAATTAACCTGTACTGTACATTACTTTTGATAATAAAATCTTTTTTGTATATTCACCCGTCTTTTCTTTATAGTCCATTGGAGGCTGAAAAAAAAAAAAAAAAATAGCCCTCGTAATTGGCAATTTCAGTGACACGTCCTTCTTACAGAACTGCTGTGGGAAAAGCTGTTGATTTCCCAGTAGATATTTTCAGCTTCTTTCTGAGATTTAGCAGTAAATCAATAAGCTGGTTTACTGTTGTTATAATCACAAGGACGTATTATCTTCCTCTTAAAAACATCACTAAGTAACTATTCATATTATCTGGCATGATAAACCTCAAATTTTTATTCATTAAACTGTTTTTTTTTTTTTTTTTAATAATTGCTTGTATCTAAATCGGATATGCCATTGCAGCATACTGATACATATTTTCTTAGCTGTTTGATCCAAGCAAATGACCCCATTGCTTTGGAATCATAATTATTCCTTATTTATTTACATTTCTTGTTACATTTTTATGCATCTTTTAAATGTATATTGCCCTACATAAGCATGATATAACTATTTATATTTAACCTCGTATCACGCACTGTAATATGATAGAAGTGTATAACAAACTTGTGCCATACATATTAAATGACAGGAATTTAAACATATAATTCTTAGACTTACACAGCTAAAACTATATAGATGTTTCCTCTATTTTGTCAACTTTTAAAATATTTTTCAAATAATAATTATTAAAAGTTTACTTACCATTAGTGTTTGAAGAAATGAATGTTTTCAAAATTAAGATAAATTCATCTGAAATGTATGATGGAGATATTTGACAAAATTCTTTTACCACACTCAAATGTTTGACAATTAGTTCTTCAGATGGAGTATTTTTTAGATGCCTTTCAAACACAAACTGAGACAAACAGTCTACAGATACCTGAAATGAAATTGCAGGATTATTTACTAAAAGATATTTTTAAAATATTCTTAAAGCTACATATTTGAAGAGATACATATATATAAAATAAAGCCAAATAACTTAACGGAAAAATTAAGTTCTTATATATTAATTTAACTTATTTTTTCCTAATTTACAATTAATTTTAGATCTGCTAACAGGCCTTTTCTTTAATGTCTGTCAATGCACAACTTCCCTGATGAAGATGCATTAGGAGATGTAAAATCTATTTGCCTTAATTATTTTTTCTTTTACCTAGTATTTGTGGTATTTTTGTATTTGAACAACATTTATCTGTTTGAGAACAGCTTCTTTTTTTCTTCTAGCAAAATTTTTGCATTTGAAATGGTTTTCTGGGAAATTCAAATATTAAGGTTTGAATTATATTTGGAACATTTTGGGAGAACAAAAGATAAGGGTTTGTAAAAAATTAGTTGCAACAGAAAGCATTTTTGGTTTCATGATTCAAAGTAAGAAAGGATGAAGGACCAAACTGTAAGGAAGTACGAGTTAATCACATAACCATCACAAATGAGGACTTAGATTATGAAAGCACTAAAAATTTATGGGTGTTAGAGGCAACTGGTATGAGTTCAAATAAAGAAATATTTCGATCACATAAAGAAATTTTAGAATCATTTGAATGAAATATGACCTACAAGAGTGGAAGATGGTATTGAAGGTTTAAATAATAATTATGAAATTACAAAATAGAGTTTGCTAAGTTTAAATAATAAAGTTCAGAAAAATAAAGAGCGGTATTTAAAACATAATGAAATTATTAAGGAACATTTGAGAGAATATAGTTGACAGGGCAGATATGTGTTCAAATGAAAATGTGAAAGGGGGTTAATTAAATGCCCCATTTTACGAAGATTAGAATAGTTTCTGATGTTTCTTCTAAAAGAAAGGCAAATTTGTCACTTAATTATCGTTTGGAAAGCGGACCAACCAACGACTTCATATAACAGGTAGACGGCTCACCCACAGAGAATTCGTCTGCTAGGGTGTCTCCAACATATACCACGTGACTTATGCTCTTGGCGCTCTCGGGGAATGATAGCTTAGGCTGCTTATCGCCAGTTTGGCACGCTTTTGATATGGCAGATAGTGCTTTTTATTTCCGTTTGCTGGCAGTCGGCAAACAACGGCCTCGAATTAGGTTATTCGATTTTTTACAATTATTTTTAGATATAACTTAACCTCTTTTTTCCTGAATATTTTATCTATATTTTTAATAATCGCTTTAAATTATTTGTGCCATTGTTTAAGATGTTTGGGTTAAATAATTTTAGGAAGAAAATCTAAAATAAATAATAAAAAATTGAGAGGAAACTTTAATTTTGAATAATGTTTAAAAATTAATTGCACTACTGTTATAATATTTGAGAAGGGAAAAAATCTCGTTTATTTTTAATGCATTGCATCTTAAAGAGAAAAGAAAATCACATTGTAATCTATATATTTATGCTATTCATGAAATATATACTTACAGACTGTTGACTTTCAGCTGAAACTATAAACTATTACTATCCAAACTTATAATATAGTTTATGATACAAAAAGATAAATTATACTGAAATCTTATAAAAGAAAAATATTTTACTTTCTTATATTTAAGTAAACATAATTTTACTTCATTTAAAGTCAGAAATAGTTTTTGGAACAATTTCATTTACCTTTGACCTTTCAGTGTTACCAATAGTACTTGCATTTTGGAAATTTACGATAGTAAATAAAATTTTTAGTTTTAAAAAGATCTTTCACTGATTGTAAATGCCCATTTTTTTCAGTTACTTGCATATTAAAGTGCTTATAAACTTAGCAATGTCCAGAAAATAATTTCATGCAAACTTGGAAGCTACTGCCTTAAAACTGTATGCTGTTATACATTAAATTTAGTAAGATTTCATATTTTGCACATCAGCTGTAAAATTTACATTTCCAAAATAAAATTTTCTTTCTGAATTATGAATTCAAACATGACAATACATATTCTATTTTATTCCTATATCCCAATTAAATAAACACATTACGAAAATGTGCATTTAAATATAGTATTTACTATAAAGTGGATTAATGCTATTTTCTATTTATTTAAATTATTTTTTCTGAAGTATATCAGGAACAAATACCAAAAACCACCTACTCAAATTGGTAGTCAAGTATATTCCAAATTTTTTATTTTTGATATGTGAATAAATAATGAGCTTTTTAAAACAAAAACACACAATTTGGCTGAAATATAGAAACTACACATTATTATATACTACATGAATAACTTTATGAAATACAATACCCTATATAAGGCTCTGATATGGGAAATTTGATTTATGAAACTTTTTTTTTTAAATAATATAAATTTTAAAAAAAATTTAGCTTGTAAAACCATGGAAATCTTTATAGATATATAAAGAATGTGATATTTACTTTTAAAAAATCAATACATAAGGCAGTGTAAATAAAATACAAACTACAAATTAAAAATACATGCTTTTATTTTAACAAATACAGGGCTTAAATAAAACTGACTGTTTCACAGAAAAGAAAAAAAAAGTTTTTGTGAATAGAAATGATGTACGTGTGAGTAACACGTGCATAAGAAAATATCCCTAACATTAACTAGGAAAGCCGAAATCTTAGTTAAGATAGACACGTTACAATTAATAATCAAATTTAATAAGGAAAAGTAACAGTTGCCGGGTACATTATAACGGCTTAAGAAATTCAGAGCACAGTACACAAGTTCACATATCTCGGCGAAGCAGAGACACACACATTTGTTGAAGTAGTTCCACTTGACTGTCGGGGAAAATTCTTCTCTCCCCGTCAGCCTGTAGGTTTGCCAAACAGGTTTACTGTTTCGCCAATTGGCGCTTTTCTGTACAGTTTTTACGTCCGTATCGCCTGTTTGGTGCTGCCGCTGCAGAAAGTAAAAACTAGTAAAGATAAATTGATGAAAGCCTCATTCAAACCTGCAAAAGTTCACTAAGATATAGTTTTGATGGGTTTTTTTGACAAACTATACATATATATATATATACTGTTTGTATGCAACAAAAAGTTAAGGCCTGTTTTCAAGAATTTTTTTTTTAATTGAACTCCTACTAAAAATCTTAATACACACTTAATCCTCATTATAAATTAAAGAAAATTCTATAATTATGATATATTTATGTTGCTAAAAAATAGTTTAAAAGGAAAAGGTTTTTAAAAAATCTTAAACAAATATTACTATGAAAGCAAAAACTCTGCAATCAAATATTGAGGTGATTAATTTATAAATAGGTGGCACTTTTAAGTATAGGCAATCTGTTGGCATTAACGAGTTAATACCATTTTATTTCTTATACTTATAATGTTTGGTAAGTTCGAATTCACTGCCACTTTATTCCTGCTTTACCAGATCATTCTTATGCATTAGCTTAAATTAAAAAAATTTAGGATTTATTCATGCATTATTAGCTAAGATATACTAGTATACAAATTTTCAGCTCATTTATAGATTTTGAATTTAGCTTTTTTTTTAACAAAGTAAACATATCACACAATCTTATCTCAATAATTTAATATTTAATAATAATAGCATTTTTCTTTCTTTCTTTCTTTCTTTTATCATTGCAGGCAGTATTTGTTTATAAAACCAAAACGTGTACGATTTGGCGAAAAAAGGTTAGCGCCAACTGCCGCAGCTTTCTATTTCGATGGAGTACACGGAAAAAGAACATAAAATGCAATTATTTGTAAAAGGTGGTTCCAGTAAATAATGTCACAGTATTTATTACATTTTGATGCTATTAATACATGCTGAAAATGTCACATACAGCGGCAATTTTCTTATACAATATGGCTGAAACTTTCCAACCAATTCAACAGAGATAGTAAAGTGACAAAAATACTGGAAATAAAATAATAAATCACGCAGTTTTAACTTAGCTATGAAAGGTTACAGGTCCCCCTTTTACAAAACTTTCTTTACATCCATAGGCGCTGCAGCGGATAACCATTTTTTCTTAAATTTTATGTGACCAAGCAGAGCAGGCGTCTTTCGTCCCATAGAAATGAATGTAAAGTATTTCCAGACTTTCGGAATTCGCCCAGCAGTCATGCGACACTAATGTTGGAACCGGTTGGAAGTTGCAATAAGCTCTCTACCAGTATATATCTCGTTGGGACCAACCTAATTTAAATCTTTACTTAGTGAAGATCACAAAATTCAGAATAGGATACATCCAATTGCAATTTGTGCCGATATTCAACGAGCATTTTTAGAGGAAAGAATAACTAAAAAACATATGGATTTTATAAAGTTTTTATTGATAAATATAGAAAGACCCAATCTAGATAACAGTTACAAAATCTTAAAATAACAAAACACATCATTTTAGCCATATGTGGCATGCTATTTGATCTTTTAGGAATCTCGAATCTGTTCATGGTTCAGATTAAACTTTTAATGCAAACTATGCAGGAAAAAAGTATTCAGTCGGAAGAGAGTGATTCCCCCGATACAGAATCCACCTTTCAGGAAAGGTTAAAAGAAGTTGAAAAAATAAAAATTTTTTGAAATTTTCAGACTTCTTCAGTGATATGCGTTGGAAGTTTTTAGAAGTTCACATATTTTCAGATGCTAGCTCCAAATGTTATGGCACCGTAGCATACTTTAGATTTATTTGAAAAGACAGACGAATGTAAAACAAGTTTCATAACAACAAAAAATCATTTAACTTAGTTCAAGCTTAGAAAGTATTACATTTTTTATTTTATTACAAAACATAACACTTTCTAAGCTTGAGCTACTAGGAACATTAATATCTGCAAGATTAGGTTCATGTTCTCAATTGATATTTCCAATGTTGAATTAGGGAAACACATTTTACTGGACTGACTCCCAGATTTGTATCCATTGGATCAAGGGGCTTGCCAATAAGTAGAAACAATTTGCAGGAAATCATGTGATAGGGATCAAGGAAAAAAGT